AGAACAATCGACTGTCAAAATGCATGCAACATTGACGAAGCTTGGTGTATTAATGACCGAAGTTCAGCAAGGAACGGGCGGCCGAACAGAATTCGATGAAAAATGGGGCGGTCGGTATTTCGTCGTGGAAAGTATGATCGCAGTTGATTAAAAATCTCCCGATCGGCTGTTAGTCTTTTTCCAAAGAGGCGCAGCGGCACCTTGGAAACTATCCCGCGGAAATTAACGAGGGTATAAAGGGATCGTAGACGGTAAAAACTGGAAGGCAAAATTAAAGTGCCATGGATCCATGCATGCCAGGTGTTCAGAACGATTAAATCCAGATAAACGATTCGGCCGTCGTTCGGAACGACAGGAAGATTTATCAGTTCTTCCCCGGGATCCATTTCCCATAAAGAGAAGTCTATCTACCAGAGACTTTGTTTTTCCACGGGACTTTCCTCGTGGATCCGGTTTTGTAATCATCTTAACGCGGGGCGCGCTCGCAGATTTCGAATTACGCCGCGAAGAGATTCTCAAATTCCATCTCGAAGAGATTCCCGCGAATGTCCGCGCCGAAACGTTCTCCGTCCCCGCGATTTTCACCAAAAATCGAGTGCATCGAGGTGCGATTCATCGTTGCGCAAAATCGGCGGAAATTATCGTTGCACGCAGCTGTATAATAATTTAACAAAGTCTACTTTAAAATTGCGATTTATCGCGCGACGCGGAATTAAAAGAAATTATCGGATCATTTAATTTCGAACAGAACCGGGAAAAATTATAATTTGCATACTGAAATCTACTGCAGAGTGCAGTCTATAGCTGCGCAGAATTATAAGATATAATCAATGCCGCCCGGCTGCATTATAAAATAAAATGCGATTACATGCGACTCATTAATTAATTAAGTTTCATAAGAGGCGATCTTTAAAGTCGTTTAAAGTCCATTCCACCTTTTTGCGCTAACAATTTTAGTTTCGTAACAACAAAATACAACTTCGCGAAGTGCTTGAACACATCGCCTCTTCTCTTTTTTATTATTATTATTTCTTTCGTTATCAACTTCCAAGGCTGACGCGATCCAAAAATCGAATGGCTTTTCGTCGAAACGATCCCGACGTTTCGATCGTTAACGAAGATTAATTACGGCAGGATTGAAATTGCAATTCGATTAGTATGTTCGACGCGCTGTTCGGCTGTTCAGATCGAGTGAAAGTGCATCCGGCAGCAGTCGAAACAATGCAGCTCACTTTCAGACGCAGTCTCGACCTCTAATCAATCCGTCGTTGTCTTGGATCTATCGGGTTCGTTCTAATTTATTGCCTATACATTCGCGAGGGTGTTTACCGATTATAATGGATATTCCCGTTGACGTCAGCAGCGATATCATCGGCCACGAGCTTCCGGGCATCCTGTTACGAAGGTTTATTAAGCTGGAAACGCCGCTTGATGGGATTATCCGTACTGCGTGAGATTGAATAAAGTGACGTAACTGCGATCTCAAGGCCGGTTATTATACTTCCGCGTTCCGCCTCCTTTGCCAAACCCGCGACGACTTCCTCCGACAATGCCAGTCAACACCTCCGACGCTTCCAATTTGATTGATTCAACCTTCGACTTTTCGTTCGCCGGCGATCGGATCGACTTCCGAGATTTTTTTTAAGATAAATCGTAGATGTATCGGAACGGAGCTTTTTGCGTTCGAAAGAGCATTCTTTGGACCACCTTTCAGAATTTTTTTGTTGGGAAGTATAGATCAGTATTAAAGATATAGCTATTTTTCGGACGTCCTGTTTTCGATCGTTAAAATTGCAAATTTGGCATTTCAATCGAGATAGTAATTTTTTTTGAGAGGACCCCTCAAGTTTTCTTAATCTAGTTTCTTGCATTCGAAAGATCATACTTTGGACCACGTTTTCGAATTTTTTTGTTATAAAGTATTGACTAGTATGAAAGATACAGCCGTCTTCTCAGACACTCTTTCGCCAATTATGAATACTTTCAACTCTTGGAAGCAATCAAATCGTCGACTTCAAACATTGATTACGCTTTAAGCGGAAGTTCCACGCAAATATTTTCGCCGGCAAATAGTTGCATAGGCTCTCCTTTAATTAACGAAAATAAGGAAATAGCATGGCGGAGAGATATAAATTCAGATGGGAAGTTAGTCGAACTGCATTCGAATATTGCTACGGCGACAAGTGGGTGGAACCGGAAGTTTCGATACTTACAGTGGACAGTTTTGCCATACTTCTCCCATACCGGGCAAGGTTATTGGATTCCAATTAATGACTTTTGCAAAATGCCCCGAGGCTCTCAGCCGAAACTAATTTCGAAGTACGGGGATAGTTAAGGCTTCGCCGGTCAAGAAAGATAAACCTGCCGGACATTGCCGAGGGATCATTGTCCTCGAACGGCTTAACGATTGCTTGTTTAAGAGAATAACTTCCTGGCACTTCTCGATCGAGCTTGGCGATCTATGGATCTCAATAAAAACATCAGATCAATTACCGTTTCGGCCGAGGCGTTATTAAATAATCGAGAAAACGATCTTCGAGATACGACTGTATCTTCTACAGTAATCAACATTTTGTAATGAAAAAAATTGCCAGAGTTGGTTCAGAGTATGATCTTTCAAATGCAAAAAGTCGCATCGAAAAATATTCGCATACCTTTTTCTGAAAAATCATTGAAACGACTCGTTTCTTTCGCACCAAAATCCTGAATTTATACGTACAATCGAGAATAGTGCGTTTTCAAAATGGCTGTATCTTTTACAATAATCAACATTTTGTAATGAAAAAAATTGCGAGAGTTGGTCCAGAGTATGATCTTTCCAATGCAAAAAATCCCATCGAAAAATATTCGCATACCTTTTTCTGAAAAATCGCTGAATCGACTCGTTTCTTTCAAACCAAAATCCTGAATTTATACGTGCAATCGAGAATAGTGCGTTTTCAAAATGGCTGTATCTTTCACAATCGTCAATATTTCCTAACGAAAAAATTCCAGGATCCGGTCCGAACGATAATCTTTCGAATGCAAAAGGTCTGGTCGAAAAACATTCGCGAAGCTTTTCTTGAAAAATCGCTGCATCGGATGCTTTCAATTTCGCGATAACCCCGTATCTCTTGCAATCGTCAATATTTTCTAACGAAAAAATTGCCAACATCCGATCTACCGAATGCAAGAGAAGATCCATCGGGAAATATTCAGAACGTTCCTCGCAAAAAGCCTGCTGCTGCACCAGTGAATAAAGCTCGGAGCGCAGGATCTTGGTAATAAAAGTACAAGTCGATGAATAAATATAAATCGACGTTCCAGCTGTGCGCGTTATGTCAGCTAATTGAGAAATATCGAAGGAGCGAATCAATGCCGGCAGAAGGAAAACGGAGGAAGGGGAGGGGNAGTTGCATAGGCTCTCCTTTAATTAACGAAAATAAGGAAATAGCATGGCGGAGAGATATAAATTCAGATGGGAAGTTAGTCGAACTGCATTCGAATATTGCTACGGCGACAAGTGGGTGGAACCGGAAGTTTCGATACTTACAGTGGACAGTTTTGCCATACTTCTCCCATACCGGGCAAGGTTATTGGATTCCAATTAATGACTTTTGCAAAATGCCCCGAGGCTCTCAGCCGAAACTAATTTCGAAGTACGGGGATAGTTAAGGCTTCGCCGGTCAAGAAAGATAAACCTGCCGGACATTGCCGAGGGATCATTGTCCTCGAACGGCTTAACGATTGCTTGTTTAAGAGAATAACTTCCTGGCACTTCTCGATCGAGCTTGGCGATCTATGGATCTCAATAAAAACATCAGATCAATTACCGTTTCGGCCGAGGCGTTATTAAATAATCGAGAAAACGATCTTCGAGATACGACTGTATCTTCTACAGTAATCAACATTTTGTAATGAAAAAAATTGCCAGAGTTGGTTCAGAGTATGATCTTTCAAATGCAAAAAGTCGCATCGAAAAATATTCGCATACCTTTTTCTGAAAAATCATTGAAACGACTCGTTTCTTTCGCACCAAAATCCTGAATTTATACGTACAATCGAGAATAGTGCGTTTTCAAAATGGCTGTATCTTTTACAATAATCAACATTTTGTAATGAAAAAAATTGCGAGAGTTGGTCCAGAGTATGATCTTTCCAATGCAAAAAATCCCATCGAAAAATATTCGCATACCTTTTTCTGAAAAATCGCTGAATCGACTCGTTTCTTTCAAACCAAAATCCTGAATTTATACGTGCAATCGAGAATAGTGCGTTTTCAAAATGGCTGTATCTTTCACAATCGTCAATATTTCCTAACGAAAAAATTCCAGGATCCGGTCCGAACGATAATCTTTCGAATGCAAAAGGTCTGGTCGAAAAACATTCGCGAAGCTTTTCTTGAAAAATCGCTGCATCGGATGCTTTCAATTTCGCGATAACCCCGTATCTCTTGCAATCGTCAATATTTTCTAACGAAAAAATTGCCAACATCCGATCTACCGAATGCAAGAGAAGATCCATCGGGAAATATTCAGAACGTTCCTCGCAAAAAGCCTGCTGCTGCACCAGTGAATAAAGCTCGGAGCGCAGGATCTTGGTAATAAAAGTACAAGTCGATGAATAAATATAAATCGACGTTCCAGCTGTGCGCGTTATGTCAGCTAATTGAGAAATATCGAAGGAGCGAATCAATGCCGGCAGAAGGAAAACGGAGGAAGGGGAGGGGGGGGGGGTGTATTACCGTAATGAAAACATTTCGCTCATTAACGAGAGAGCACACGGTTATATTACTGGAAGAGTGACGGGAGGACTCGTTTGACTAGAAAACTCGATTCGCAGGCCGTGAATTAGCGCGTCCGCCTTTGGACAGCTTCAGCCCGCGGCTGAAGATACAGCTGCGCTACCGAATAATAACATTTTAATATATCTGCTCTTTGACGTCGAGAACTTCCGAAAAATGATTGGCCTTCTCTCCCGTTGGATCACAGTTCTGACAAAAATTCTACTTTATGTTGCAGGACCAGCTGTCGCGTCTCGGGCCGTTATTGAAGGCACGGCAGAGCTGCCTTGTGACATCCGGCCGCCCAGAGACAATGACTCCGCTATTTTGGTCGTGTGGTACAAGAGCGACGTCACGCCCATTTACAGGTGATCTTGATGTTCCTATCGGTTCGTTTATATTCATGGCAGAGAGACGTTTAAACAATTCTTCGCGTCATGGTTCTCTCGATTTCGGCGTTATGTAATTGTTTACGTCGTTGTAACCTTCGCAATTTCCAAGATAATCGAAGAATTGTTGAACCGGGTGTTTCTCGAAGGATGGCAGCAGATTTAAAAAATAGAAGGAGGCCGATTTTTTAACGTTTTGCATCGATAATATTAGAATTGTTCGCGATGTTCCTTCGCGAGTGTTACTTTGCTTTAGCCTGCAGGTTCTCTAGGGAACCTCTGTAACTCCATCAATTTACAGGATATCTTCAAAATTTTTACACCGTAAGCTTCCTAAAGAATGCTAGAAGGCTACTAAGATAAGAGCAAACTCGATTTTTTAGATACTCCTTCGGATATCTTTAAACGACTTCGCAAATGTCTCTTCGAGATTGTTCCATCGCTCTATCTTCTCCTCTTTCGAAGCTCCGTAACTGCCACAATTTTCGAGCAATCTTGGAAATTTCGGCACGAAAAATTCGCCAAAGAATCGTAGAAATACGAGAGAGAAGGGAAACGGTTCTCCTGATTAAAGAAAAGACAGGATCGCGTTTAATCCGGCGGAGCTCGAGGCTCGAGAAGCTGGCCTTATCTTGAACCCGGTCGTTTCGAAGCCGGAGGAAGTCAATCCGGCGAGTCCGGCAGAAGTGTAGATCGAATATCGATAGCCCCGGGCCTCGAGCCGGAAGTCGGTAGTTCCAGGATGTCGCTGTTTCGCCGCGGAAGTGGCCGAAACCGGCTAAAATATGTTTCTTGGGCCAACAGAACGTAAGCGGCGCGTACGCGCGCTGCACTTACGCTCGCGCAGCATTAGCCGGCTCGTCGGTACGAACAATAAGGTTTTAGTTTGTAACCGAGCCAGGGCCGCGAATTCTCGAAAACTCGAACGCTCCGAGGCATTCGTAGATACGTCCGTAGCCGCGGCGTGGAATTCGATTGCCGGAATTTCAAAGAGAAGTTATTCCGACCCGAAAAATATCGCGCTACTTAAGCTAATTTCCATAATCGCTCCGCGGATCATATTTATCAGAAAATGCATGGCTCCGCGTGAAATATCCGAATCGCGTTAAACGCTTTTCAATTAACTGCCTACGCCGGCCGAAACTGCGTTTCCGAAGCGCGCGAAGCGTAATAGTCGAGTAGAAAAGCACAATTTCGCCTGCTAGAAAAATGAGGATCTTTCGGAATTTTTTCTAGGAAAACTCGCGAGAGTTTCGCGACGAGACCTTTTGCACTCGAAAGATCGTTCTTTGGACCAGCTGACGTATTTTTTCTGTGCAGAAATAGCCGTAATTGCGAAAGTTGCAGCCACGTTTACGAAGGCCTCTTTCTCAATTTTTGTCCCACCTTTTTCAATCGATCGGTGCGGTGATTTATTTACAGAAAATCGATGAATCTTTTAAGATAACTTGCGACAATTAATCGCATTCGAAACACTATACTTTGGACCAGATTTCACGTTCTTTTCGTTTCGGAATATCGATAGTTGCAAAAGATGCAGCCATCTTTACAGATTGCAGAAATACAGCATTTTCATCCTAGATGTAAATTGACAGAACGAATTTTTGTTTAAGAAAACTTCCAAATCTTTTGGAACGAGATCTTTTGCATTCTGGAGATAGTACCATGGACCGTCTCTCCGATTTTTCCCGTTGAGAAATATTGACACTTGTGGAAGATACTTTTCGGAATCCCTTTCGCCAATTACTTGTTCGAAATGAAATGATCTGAATGGAGAATTGGAGGTTTAAATTCGAAGAGAAAAATCGATGAAATAATATTTCCGAGTATTTTGGGAGCACGGTACCGGGGAAAACAGGTTGAAACTTTTACGTCCACTCCGGTTATAGTGTCAAAGCCGAGCCTGAACTTGGACTCAGCGGATGTTAATCGGATTAACTTAAAACTTTCAAGCAGTCTCCCAGGCGGATGATATCTTCACAGAAAATGTGAGGATCCGAGGATCAAATGTTTCAAAAATATCCACCGTAATCCTTTGCAACATTAAACACCGTCAACAAGCTACAAAATTATTTACCTCGACCGGTGTAGCAGAAAATTATTTATCTCGCCGGAATTCGATTAATGATATCTACAAAAAAGAAAATGGACAAACATCGTTGATTTACATGAACCAGTGCAATTAACGCCATCGTACGGTCGCCAATGGCTCCCATGACGCCGGAGGCGTACCATAATTCCGCAATAGTCATCGCGTTAACAGCGAGACCAACGGTACCAAAACACGAACCACAAATAATTTCGGTTTTTCAGTTAATTAATGGAAATAATTGCCAAATATTTTCTCTGGTTAAATGCGGTCTACTTTAACGTAACAGCGTAAAGTAGAGTAACTGCGGACGGCCGAGGTTAGGCTAGTCCAGTCGATTTTTAATTGTCCAGCTGACCAATTAAAATCTCTGGTTGACGACTATCGATCCGGAACATGAAACAGGCACACTCTAATAGTGGACCATCACGCAACACGCGCTGGTATTAGTATACTCGGCCCTCTGATAAACCTGCAGCCAATGGCAGCGAGATTAGGGTCACTTTTCGAAAAGGCAATGCCGGAAAATTTGCGAACGGTTCCACAAATTTACGAAGCAGATTCGCCTCTCTGCGATGGCCAGGTCCATTTTGACCCAGATGGGTCAACACTAATTAATCAACTTATTTCAGTTCATTATCGAGCACTTTTAACAACACGATTGATAAACCGATCTCAGTCTAAGAATATCGTTTTCGAATAAGGTTCAATTAGAAAATGATTTACACTGATCAACGTTGTGTACGTATTTTAATGTACACAATTGATTTATGTACATAATTAATTTACATGGAAATTGGTGCAGCATTTTAGAATACACGTTCATGGTCTTCTCGACCAATTTATTCGAATTATCGTGTTTTTTTTGGAACACGCTCATTATGCATGTAATTAATTAATTCAGATTAATGTTGCACTTTTGGAAAACGTTATTTATTCGGACATCACGTTTTGGAATATATATGTACTTGGAAGCATAAAATTAATTAACATGCCGTGTTATTAAAGTTGTTGTTAATTTTCTTATTAAATCGTCTTAAATTTGGAAAAAGCACTCTTACGTGCAACATTGTGCAATGTTTGTTTTAATCGAACAAGCATTGTATTTCCGGATGTACAATAATGTCTCTCTAAGTGACGCTCAGATTGTTCACAAAAATGGAGAAATTTGGAAGAGAAGATACGATTGTTCGAGCCTTGCGCCTCCTTTTTATAGTTGAGATTGAGAATCGGTAATTATAACAACGAGGCGCAAGACTCAAATTAATCGTGTGGAATCAAATTTTTGTGGACAATCTGAGCGTCAATTAGAGAGACATTATAATACAGTAATTATTGACGCTCAGGTTGTGCACAAAAATGGACAATTTGGGAAGAGGAGATACGATTATTCGAGTTTTGCAGCTTATTTTTATAGTTGTTGACAATTCGTAACTATAATAACGAGGCGCAAGACTCAAATTAATCGTATCTCCTCTTCCCAAATTGTCCATTTTTGCAGACAATCCGAGGGTCAATTAGAGAGACATTACTGTACTTCCAAGCATAAGATCAATTTATTGATTCGTAATTGATTGCCTTGGTATTAAATCTTAACAAAATACGGCCGGTCCGCCTGCCAGCGGTCCAAATGAAATATGCAACGAAAATTAACGAAAGGCTCGGGAACACTCTGTTCCAGTTACGACATGAGGGGCAAACACTCGGAGAAGGCCTCCCATTGGAACGATAAGGATCACCTGAACGACCGGGCATTTTTCAGAACGGTCACGGAACCGGCCACCTTAAATATAAATCAGATCGAGGAGAGGGACGAGGGGGAGTACAGGTGTCGCGTCGACTTCGCCAAAAGTCCGACCAGAAACTCCAGGATCCATCTCACCGTGATCGGTTCGTTAAACGAATTCTCCATGCTCCTTTCGATAACATTCCGCGAGCTATTTTTCTCATCAAATTTCTTCGAAATATTCTTAAGATAACAATCCGATTTTGCTGTTTTTATGAAACGACACAAGTGTCGCGATTCATACGATCGCGACGAGTCCGTAGAAGAAATTTAATCCCGATCTCTTTAATTACCGTGTCTCGCGAAAATTGCTAACACATCGAATTCCTTTGCGATAAAAATTCTTCAAGATGCAAATTTCGATCTTGCTATTTTTGAATAAGATAATACCAGCGTCGCGGTTCGTTTAATCTCGTAAAATCCACATCGCCGTTTCCACGAAGCAACGCTAACGGCGTGACGATACGTAAGCGTAATTTAGGTAGGCTCGCGGCTAAAACACGGAAGAATTGTACGTAGTACGCGATCGTTTCGAGGTCGGCCGGCGCAAAAATTGCTGCGCCGAGCACGGAATTTATCAATTAATCTCCCCGGACGATGATGGAGCCTCGAATAAGTACCTGGTTCCTTGGAGAAGTACTAATTGAAAACGCAGACGGAAATTTAATTAAACGAATGTATAGATCAAGAGGTGGGGAGGGCGGGGGTTAACGTCTATTTAATCACATTGTTACACTTTGAAAATCGGGAGATTAATTGCTCCGGCTTTGTACGTTTCGCCGAGCTTGGGAAACAGACTCCGGGTCACTTCTGATCCAGTCTTGCAAAAACATCGCGCGAAATTCGAAAGCGAAGCGATCGAATTCGCGGGGAATTCGAGGCAATTGAAACACGGAATTCGAAATAATTGAAATGCGACTACGAAATTGTTGCGACAAGCGGAAATCATTTACCTTGAAGCGATTGAAACGGCACGTTGAAATTATTATTGCAACTGGACATAGTCGGACCGGAAATAATTGAACTGGAAATAGTCGAACTCTACAAAATCGAAATTAAATCGAACCAAAAAGTAACGAAAACGAAACATTAAAATTGCTGTCGCGATTAAAGCTAATTTAACCGAAACATTTAAATCGGAAATAATAAAAATAGCATTTCGAAATTGCCATCGCGACCGGAAACGATCGAGATTGAACGATTGAGATGCTACACTCGTAATTACTATCGCGGCTGAAGTTCAACGAACACGAAATAATTTCGATAAAACTCTTCGAGATAATTGAAATCTTAACGAGTTCGAGGACTCGCTGAGAATCGAATCGGTCCCCAATGATCGCGAGGCGTTCGACGGTCGCGAGCACCGATTCCCCGCGGATCGTCGCGCCGCTAATTCATTTTTGTTCTGACACCACAGTGCCGCCGCAGAAGCCAAACATAATCGACGAGCTCGGAAAGACGGTGCTATCGGTGGCAGGACCATACGGGGAAGGCGGCGACATGAAGCTGCAGTGCCTCGTCACCGGAGGCGAGTATTCCATTTTAATTGAGAAGTTTCCTCGCGCGGCCCGTGTTTTCTTCCCCCCCTTTTTTATCGGGCCGACGGTCGCAGTCGCTCGATGTTTAGCTGTTTAGCACGCGCCGATAAATTCCGTCCGTTTAAACAGCCGGTAACGGTTTGCAAACACTCCTCTTTCCGATCCATCCGATCTCACCGGCTCGAAACAACGTGGACGCGGCGACGGTACTTTTTTCGGTGCGTCCTCTGATCATCGTTGCCACACGGTCGAAACGGAAGCCCGAAAAAATGCTTCCTCCTCCCAGTTATAGAAATTTCTCCCTTACCGATCCTCGATCCAGACTTTACGCGAAATTTCCAAGTCCCGAAACATTGACGATATTCAGAATACTGTAACTTCGTGAACAAAAATCGTAGAACAAGGAAACTAAACTCATTTTAAAGCTCGAAGTATCTACTTTCGAAGACCGTACGTCGATTTCTTCAAAAAAATTTATTCGCGACACGGTGGATGAAAAACCTCGATCCAGACTTTACGCGAAATTTCCAACCCCCGAAACATCGACGATATTCGGAATACTGTAACTTCGTGAACAAAAATCGTAGAACAACGAGACTGAACTCATTTCAAACCCTGAAGTCTCTGCTTTTTCCGTGTATAATTCATTCTCGTCGAAAAAATTTTTCGAAGACACGGCACGCGAGAAACTATAAGGGCAAGTCGCGAGGCTCGGATAATCGTATCTCCTCATCCCAAATTGTCCATTTTTGGTCCAATCGATCGACCGCTGTTATTAATCGGTACCGTCCATTTCGCTTAAAATCAACTATCTAACAACGTTCCACACGGAAAATTAGCGACAGTTTAAGTCATCGTTTCGCCGTCCCTCGACTCGTTCGAACGAAACAAGCGAAAGCATCGGAAGCATCTTCGTCGGGCCTCGGAAAAAGCCACGTCGCGCTTACAAATTTTTATCTCCGAAACTATTTGTCGGACATAGCTGACACCTTTTTCATCCGAATCGGAGAGCCTCGAATTACCGTGCGAAAAAATGTGCTCCCGTTAAGAAGTCGATTATCGAGGGCGGCATAAATTGTTCCAGGTCGGCCGGAGCCGGTGGTGAAATGGTGGCGAGGCGAGATGCTCCTGGACTCGAAGGACGAGCAAGGCGAGTTCCCGTCGCTCCGCAGGAACACCCTGCTCGTGAGACAACTATCCAGGGCGGATCTTCACGCGGTGTTCACGTGCCAGGCGTCGAACAACAACATCAGCCAGCCAGTTTCTGCTTCGGTGGCGATCGAGATGCACCGTCGGTTACCGTTTTCATAGTACACGCCGATACCCGGCATCTCGACGCGATCTTCGAGCTTTCGTTGATAATTCTGAAATAAATATCTTTCTCTTTTCTTCTTTTCTACCACAGTGAAGCCGCTGAACGTAACGATATCGAGCAACGAGCACGCGCCTCTCAGCGCCGACAGGAAGTACGAAATCGTTTGCCTGACCGTGGGATCGAGGCCTCCCGCCAAGTTGTCTTGGTTCATGGACGGCAGAGTATTGACAAATCACACGGAGGAGGTATTGTTGTCCCTCGGTGAACCTGCCCTCCATTGTACTTTATTGTACCGCGTTATACACCTCTTGGCGTTCCATCGCGTTTCATTAGATTCCATCGTACTTCCTGCTGCTTCATTATACCACTGTACACTTGGTCGGATTTCATTAGTCATCGCCGAATTTATTTGTATTTCACCGTGCTCGGTTGGAATTCATTAGTCTTCGCTGTCTTTGCTTGCACTTTCACCCTGTGTTTTCTGTTCGCCCACCATCGTCTACTTTATCGTATCTCATCGCACTTCCCTACATCTAATTTCACGGCACTCCATTTTGTTACACATAATCGTGTTCAGCGGCGTTTCATTTTATTCCACTTTCCCCGTACAGCGTTGTATTTAATTGTATTCCATTTTGTTCCAATCTATCCTACTTTGTTCCATTTCGTTCTACTTAATTTCTCTTAATCGCACTTAATCGCGTTTAATCGCGTTTAATCGCATTTTTAATTGTATTTTATTTGATTCCACTCTGCCCCACGTTCTTTCACACCAGTCGCAGTCGATTTTACTTTGTCCCACATCGATTCACCTTATACAGCAACGTCTCCCTAACTGACGCTCAAATTGTCCACAAGGATAGCCAATTTGGGAAAAGGAGATAGGATTATTCGAGCCTTGTACCTCGTTTTTTATAGTTGTTGACGCTTCGTGACTATAAAAACGAACCGCAGGACTCGAATAATCGTATCTTCTCTTCCCAAATTGTCCATTTCTCTGTACAATCTTAGCGACAATTAGAGAGACATTACTGTATTCCACATTGTTCTACTCCAATTTATCCGATTTCTCTTGAGTTTACTCGACTCCACTTTGTCCCCAACTTCGATCTATCTTTCTCTACTTTGTTCCAACCTTGTTCGATCGATATTTTCGTTTCAACCCCGGTCCGGTCTCCTCGCATTCAATTCTTAATTGTCCCCGGAGTATCAGGCTTGCTTGGGTTAGTTTGACGACCTTTGCCGCCGTCCGACGATAGTTCCCGTGCAATCTTAACGCGAAATGCAACTTCGACATTAAAGATATCCGAGGACGGGAACAGGACGAGTTCCACGCTAATTTTGAAGCCGACATTACTCGATCACGACAAAGTAATTACTTGCCGGGCGGAGAACAGCAAAGTTCAACGGGGCGTGTTGGAGGATACGTGGAAATTAAACGTGTACTGTAAGTACGACGCGCCGCGTGGCTCCCTATCTATCTTATTCAACATTATAAACAAAGTAGAGCCAGAGCCGGCTTGCCACCGAAGTATTATCCGAGTAACTCTCGGATATCCGGTAGCAAATCGGGGATCGGCGAACCCCGTTGTCTCGCAGTAAAATAATGCCGCGAACCGCTTCCATGACGCTACTCTAACCGCTTTATTCTATTTCAGACGTTCCAATCTTGCGTCTGGAATTAGGGTCGAACATGAACCCGGACGACATCGAGGAAGGGGACGACGTGTACTTCGGGTGCAAAGTGAACGCCAACCCCGCCGCTTACAAAGTAATATGGAAGCATAATGTTAGTTGAAGCGTATGCAACATTCTCCATTAATTAATATTCCAGCCCGGTCAGGCAGAATCTTATGGAACAACGGAGCCCGCGTTGTTTGCTCGGCGTAGAAAGCAATTACCGGTTTGAAAAAAACAACAAAACTATGCATTACGACTAATATTATCAGCTTGTTCCACGAATCAATATTCAATTTCGCGAACGATACAGCCCGCGATTATTAGCCGGCCGCGTACATCATAATTTCCAATTTCAAGGATAATAATGTCTGCAATTTAACTTATTCGATAAATCGATTCTCGCGATTTATATTAATACAGTAATGTCTCTCTAATTGACGCCCGGATTGCCCACAAAAATGGAGAATTTGGGAAGAGGAGAATCGGTAATTATAACAACGAGGTGCAAGACTCAAATTAATCGTGTGGAATCAAATTTTTGTGGACAATCTGAGCGTCGGTTAGGGAGACATTACTGTACATTATTGTGTACGAGCTGAGGGACAATTTGAGAGAATTTATTGTGCCGCTTTCGACGTGACCTATTTCGAAGGCTACGAAATCAATTCTGATAATGTAATAAGAGACAGTAATGTCTCTCTAATTGACGCTTAGATTGTACAGAAAAATAGAAAGTTTGGGAACAGGAGATACGATTACTCCGGCTTTGCACCTTGTCTTTATAATCGTTGACAATCGGTAACTATAAAAACGAGCCGCGAGACTCGGATAATCATATCTCCTCTTCCCAAATTGTCCATTTTTCTGGACAATCTGGATCTAATTATCCGAAATAGTAAAAAAAAACGGTGCTCGCTCGATCCGTACACGAAAATTCTATCCGTGTTACGCCACACAGCACGTTCTGCTCCCGTATATATATATATATAATAGATCCACCTTTTGTGAAACGAGAAATAAAATAAATCGGTGTGTGCGCGGTCAATTTTAGGGGAACGTGATTCAAAACAACGTAAAGAACGGCGTGATAGTGCAGCAGTACGACCTGGCTTTGAGGGTGGTCAATCGCTCCCAGGCCGGAAATTATACATGTATCGCCAGCAACGTCGAAGGAGACGGTTACAGCAACAACGTGGAACTGAAAATTATGTGTAAGCTATGCCCGCATTCTAATCTCTCCGCGGGGAAAGAAAGAAGGGTGGGGGGAGAGAGAGAGAGAGGAGAAAAAGAAAAAAAAGAAGGTCGAACGCCCTCCCCTCGCATATTTCACGTTTCCAGACAAACCAATCTGCGTGCCGGATCAGAAGCGAATTTATGGTGTAACCAGACTAGAAGACGCCAGGATCATTTGCAGGGTGGAGGCTTATCCGCCGCCGGACAGCTTCCGGTGGACGTTCAACAACACCGAAGAGATGGTGGACGTGCCTCAAGCGCGTTACAAGAATTCGACCGGGCACATGCAGAGCGTTCTCACCTACCGGCCGGTCACTGAAATGGACTACGGCACGGTTTTTTGCTCGGCCAGTAATACCCCCGGCCAGCAGAAAAATGCTTGCGTGTTTCACATCATTCCGGCGGGTACGCTCTTGTCAAAGGATATTTATTGCCATTGTGCCGGTCGGTCGAGCCATTTCGGGGAGGGAAAAAACGTCGCGTTCATTATTCATTAAAAAAGAAAATTACGACGGCTTTCTAACGGCCCAAGTACTTTATGGTCGCCGCTGCGACCGAATAAGTTTCAATTAGAAATAACGCGTGACTACGGTACATCCGGTCCCGAATACGGAAAAATGCTATTCTTGTATGATAATGTTATTATTATTTATTTATTATATTGTTTGTTATATTATTCATTTATTCGTTATATTATTATTTATTTATTTTATATTGATATTATTACTATTTTTTTATACAGTATATATAATATATATGCAAAATCCGAGGTCTAGTTATTATATAATTATTATATAATATAACAATTATATTTATTATAATATAATTATTATAATATATTATTATAATATTATATTTATTACAATATAATTATTGTATATATTTGTTATATTATAATAACTGTACCGTGGATTTGACGCATTTATACCAAAAACGAATAGACGAAATTTAGAACAACGAAGCTATTGAACGAATTCAAAGACGTCCATGTATTTATTACATTTAACGCGCTGAAAATCTATTTTTCCCACCCAAAAAGCCGCGTGGTCCGATAACAAAGATCTCGCTGCGAACAGGTAAACCGGAATCGCCGTACAACTGTACCCTATCGAATCAAACAACAAAGTCATTGTCGGTGGAGTGTTTCGCCGGGTTCGACGGCGGACAGCCGCAGCATTTCCTCTTGGAAGTGTTCGACCAGGCGACGGGAAAGCTGCAGGCGAACGTCACGTCGAAAGAAACGGCCGCGTTCACGGTCCAGGATCTGGAGCCCGGGAAGGTCCTGAACATGCTTTTGTACGCGGTGAACGCGAAGGGCAGAAGCGACCCAACGTTGCTCGAGGGATTCACGTTGAAGATCGCCGAGAAGCAAACTGGTAAAAGAAACTAATGCTGCTAGATCGAGATAGACTATTAAGAATAGGCTCGTAGGGTCTAATACAGTCGACGAGGACCGGCCTTCGACCTACTGACACAAGAGCAGTGCGTGTTCTGTTCACAGGTACCCCGGTGCCATTCGAGATCACCCCGTTGCTAGGGGGTTTGATCGGAGTGGTAACCGCGTTGCTTTTGATCACCATAACCATCCTGGCGGCCATGAAGATCCGAAGCGACAGAAGAACCCAGAGGCCGAACGATCTGCCGTTGAAGAAGGGAACCGCGCCCAGTTCCGAGGACCTTTACGACACCGACGACAGAAATCCCGACGTGGTACCCATAAACAAAGGTACGCGACGTTTCCGAATTACAGTAATGTCTCCCTAACTGACAGATTGTGCACGAAAGTGAACAATTTGAAAAGAGCAGATGCGACTATACGAGCCTTGCGGTTCGTTTTTATAGTTATAGATTGCTAACGACTATAAAAACGAGCCGCAAGGCTCGAATAATCGCGTCTCCTCTCCCCAAATTGTTCATTTTCGTGGACAATCCAAGCGTCAATTAGAGAGACGTCACTGTAATCGCGCCGTCTTGTGCGAGATCGTCGTTTTAACGAGACATCGAACGTACAGGCTCGGACTATCAGCTGACTGGTTCGATATCCGGGACGCCATTGGCGGTGCAAAGTACCCCGGACGGTCTGCCGCCGTCTTCGCTGTCGGTTCAACAAGTGAACCATCTTCAAGGATTGCCGCCGTACTCGCACGAGTACAACAATTACCCCACGTTACCGGTAAACGAGACTACAACCGGAACAACTCTCGTAGCTAGTTCGTCGTTGATAATAGGGGAAGATCGGGCTCGATGGAACAGCGGTTTCTCCCAGAAATGTTCGGTGCTCGGAATCGAAACCGGCAAATCCGAGAATACTAAGACGCGATTTAGAAAAAGGAAAAGGCAGTGTCGGTGTACATTAATACGAATACATAGCAATGCTAGAATAAAAATGATGACTTAACCTTTTTATTTCTAATTTTTCGCCACGATTCGAAGGCAATTCGGAGGGCACGTGACACGATTCGAAGGCAATTCGAAGGCTACACGATTCGACGTACCTAAAACCTGCGTTGTCCTCCAGAAAAACCGTCGACCCTTGGCATCGACGTAGCGATAAATTACATAGGCGTAGTACCAGCGCAGGGAAATTCGCGGCAACCCTAATTTTTGTCATTTCCGGGAGAGATTGCCGTATTACGGCGGACAAAGAATTGTTCTCAAGATTCGCAGCTTCCGTCGATCCCTTTAATCGCCTCTATCCTCTGCCCTCGGTCCTCCCCGTCGTCGATATCGGGCTCCCCGTTAACGAATCAATTAATTTTGCAGCTGTCAGGCGAAATAACGTACGCGGAGCTCTGCCTAACACGACCAACGACCCTGTCGACGTTAGCGAACGACGCCAAGTTGACTAGCATAAGCGGAGTGGGTAGTTTAAGCACCATCCAAGGGTACGGCGGCGGAGTCGTGGGCGCGAAGCCGTTCGCAAAGGAGTCGACGATCTACGCGTGTATAGATCACAACGCCAGGCCGTCGAAGATCGACGTGTCGAGTGCGTCGTCGTGTGCGCCGACGCCGCTGTCGGCGAAGAGTGCGTTCCAGGACTTAAATGTCGGCAAACATCATCCCTCGATAGAGATCGTGACCGTTCGCACCCCGTTGATCTCCACCCAGGAGAGCTGTGTATAGGGATGCGACCCTGACGCGCTGAACGTCAACGAGTACTATGTTTGATGTGGTCACGAGGATGTGATTAGGCGGCGCGTCCGGCTGCTCGCGGGATCCAGTTAACCGTTTCTCATAACTTAAGACCCTATTATGCTCTTCAATGTGTGGTGTAAAGTAGTCGAGAGAGAGAGAGAGAGAGAGAGAGAGAGAGAGGCCGTCGTGCCGGTGGATCTTAACTATGACGAATGGAACAAAGGACATAGTGCAGGAACACACGGAGGAACAATCAGTGTTCGATAGCGTTAATTATTCTTCAAGGATATTGATCGACGTAACATGAATTTGATCGAGGAGACTGATTTAAACAAACATCTTAGCGCGTAACCGGCTGGACAATTTTTAATTAGCCTGTGGATCTTCGTGCATTTCCCAGAAGAACGATCGGACAGATTCGAGGGGATTCGAATCAAGAATTAAGGGAGGGTTTTATCGTTTATTGAAAATTATCGAGGGGCAATTCGTTTCTGTGCACCGAGAAGACGATTATGATTTTGCATGAAGATCTATGGTCTAGTTAGAGTTCTTGTGTTGACCGTACATGTGTTATGCAACAAATTTTAACGATATTATTATTATTATTATTATCATTATTATTATTATATTATCATTATTATTAATATTAAGTTCTCCGGTTTTGTACGACAATGATTTTGTATATTGCATATGTTGCTCGATAGGAAGAATAATGATTTTCGATTATTCAATTGAACGAAATGAATTTTATAAATATATATAAATATAAATATATATATATATATATATATATTTGTTGCTTTTAAAGTATGTATTAAATATTATAAAGAAAAATGTAAAGTATACAGAGAACGTAATTAGGATGTACGACGTATGATTTGATATTTTCGACTTTCCGACCGATTTTCATTCGCACAAATTAACTTTAAATACTTCCATTCCATGAAACTGCTTCTGATTAAGTCTTCTGTACTATCACCGACGATCTTACAAGCGTATACTTTCCCCGAATGCTTGCGAGAAAGTTCTTAATCGAACGCGTTCCGCTAGGTGTTTAACGAATTAATTACGTTACAATCTAGCCAAGGTCGGAACTAAGTTGAGAGAAGCAGTTCGGTAGCGAACATTCCACTGCCTCTTCCGATGACCAATTTTATTACAACGCGCGGGGAGGGCATCCGTCTACGCCCCTAACTTATGCAGAAATTTAAGTAATTAGGTGTACCATAAATTCGACAATTCGACGGATAAATTGTCTCGGCACCAATTTAAAAGAATAAGAACTAAATAAGTATTTATTTCGTCTATCGAACACACTTCGAATAAATAAGTTCTATCTAAGCTTGAACTTACCGATCTATTAACGAATGCGTAAAATCCACAGTCTAATTACAATTGTAACGTGTCTGTATCGCGGAGAATGTGTTTCATTCGATGCGATAATCAACGAATCATTTTTCTTGGGTTGTACAATTTAAGGAATCGAACGAAAAATCTCTCCACGTATCTTCCTCCTGTTGTAGAAACAATGGAACTTTCTCGCCGGTGTACACTTCTTGATTTCGTTCTAACTCCGCAGGAACTTATAATTTTCCTAACATATTCGGTTTCCGTATGTGTTCACGAGATGTACTACATGCATTCTGGTAGCTGATAAGAATGGATACGTGTTATAAAAAGAACTTGTTTGTAAATATGTGATTATAAGAATGTGAAACTACGAGAACGTTGCGGGGGGGGGGGAGAAAAAGAGGCGAAACGTAAATAGGGGGGACAACAACAACGTAATCGTAGGTTTTTTTAATAAGCGAACGTACCTAGGTTTTGAAAATCGAGGTTTATAAAAGAGTAAATTAAGAGTGATATCGGTACCGTTTGCGGCCCGACGATCGTCCGATCGTGTTCCCCTCGAACGTCGATCAACAATTTGTTCGAAAGAACGCGGGCCTGCGATTCGTTGGGCCGCGAATAGTACGAGCAGTGAGTGTGTATGATTGTCCGAACCAATCATGACTTTGTAAAGAAAGTTCAAGTTCATATACTATAATATTTAAGTTGTATTGTACGCGTATCAGATTTTGTTCGCAAACGATACAATAAAAGACAAGTTTTCAGAAAGCTGTTATGCTGTTGCCGTTTCATTTCACTTTTCAGGGAGATTTGTCCGCGGCTGACTTTCCGTTCACTCGCGCCACTTGATTGCCTCGGCAGGTACAGTAAAGCACGTCGATGATGAGTCAGACGGCATATGTTCGCCGGCGCCTGCTTTATTATTGCTTTGTACTACTCGCGGCGCTCGAAAAGACCGTGAACTTCCAAGGAGTACGAGTCGATAATAAACCAGACGGCCGCGATCGTCGACGTCTGACTTATTACTGTCTCATACTACTCGCGGTGCTTTATAATAGAACTCGTCAAATCATAGATATCGCGAAGCAATTATTATTGAATCGAAGGATCAACATTTTTGCAACGAGAGAAGAGAATGAAATTGACGCGCTAGAAATACGCTGCTTCAAATAATTAATTAAGACATCGTATTGAAGGTTAAGCAAGAGAAAAAGAGCACGCGTATCGAAGAGGACGTTCACGTTATAATTTAATGTCAATGAGAGAAAGTTACGTTACCTTGCTTCTGCATTACGGAGATTGTTGTACGATTGAACGTTCTTGTCACAGGGAAACACTTTTAAACACATTGCAACGAGTCCAAACATTAAATATTAATAAAACAGTATGCTGCGCGTTTGAGGAAACTGCGCCAACTGAATACGATTAATGGCTCCCGATTCATCGATATAAATCGATAGCGCTCTGTCGGCCGATTATCGAAACCGCGCGGAGAACTACGTACATATTTCGCGCGGTTTCTCCAGCACCTGTTGCGCGCGTGTGCTGCGGTCAGTTCTGTTGAAATTTCTGAGAAGTTTGGAGCCTGATAAGTAAGAATACGGTAATATTGCTAGGACAATGGATCGTCTTCCTGCTGTCGATGTAAGCACTGTTTTTCCTGTTGTTATAAATGTATTCTCTGTTTGAATCGTTCTAACCTCTATCGACGCGCATGCTCGATTCATCTGCGCGTGCATTTCGTTGGAACAGTCTGGAAAGATCGATATTAACACGGAATATTTAGCATGTAATTCTTGAATGAAGTTTATAGAGAAATCTCGTGATCGACGTATGAAAAATCAAAGAACATTTCTACGCGCCGCGTCTCTACTTTATCGACGCGTTACCCTGTATCGATAACTTGCCGAACGATTCGAACGTTTTACCGTTGCGTGGATCGCTGGTGCATCCATGAAACGAGCTTCGGAATCGTCGCACCGGAGGCGCCACTTGCAAACTCGATATTTCGCGTGGAAGAATTTTCGAATTGAATTGAAACAAGCTCGAACCTTCTCGTGATATTTAAAAAAACGAATATATCACCGTGTTCGGGAAAATCTGTATAATCGTTTCTCATATGAAACGTTCCTGTAGCTATCGCCGTTCGAGCGCAAAAAATTCTCATATTCGATCTATCCTAACGACGAGCATTTTGGACTAGATAAAAATCCTCGGACTCACGTGTCGACCTTAATTGAACTTTTATTAATTTTCCTACATTTTCGGCGTCCCTGAAAGAATTTCGGAGAGCGTGTGTGTATACGATGCGAGTATATATAAAATATAACATACTTTTTAGAAGCTAGCAGATCACATAATCTCACGAGAAATAGAGTTTCTTGAACGTTGTGCATGTATGGCCAAGTACTTAGCTCACTCATTAAACGCATTTGTATCCTTAGAGACTAACCGTTAAACAATAGTGCCCTAGAATTTGTGAACAGACGATACAAAACGCAAACGGCGAAACTGATAACAGAATAATCATGTTTATTGAAGACGTAGCGACAGATATGTATATAATTAATTACAATATTTATATCAATGGGGAAAAGAAATAAGCCGAAGAAATGTCCAGAAGAATGTTCGGATAAAGATCGAAGGGATTAAGAAAGAACAAAATTATACAGAAAACAGACCCGTACAAACGTTTAACGCCGTATGAATTCGCGCGTTTCGCTGCTATACTTAAAACAAAACGAAAAACACCTGTTCGACGGAAGGGGCCCCGTCGACAAACCCTTCTCAGTGTAAACGTTTCGACCGAAGGAAACGGCGTGGTACGAATTCGTCGTCGTCGTAGAAGTGTTTAAAAAACTAATGGCTATGCTTACGTGTACATAATAATTCATTTGTCATGAAACACTCCGAGCAGAGTTCAACAAGAGTGTGTCCGAAACAACGTGACAAATCATCGAGATCCTTCTAATGCTAGTCCGTGGAAACGTCGAAAATGATCGTGCCTGATTACGAACGAACCGAGAAAAGTGAAAAAACGTCCCGTAGAAAAATCGAAAGAATCGGTCTAAGCGTAGTCGTGTAGAAATCTTCGAGGTACGCAAACAGTCCAGTTTGTAAAACAGTTTTCGGCGCAGTAACAGTAATTAGCTCAACAAGCATTAGAACAGTGAAAATAGTAAAAAGTTCCGAGACCCTTATAGAAAAATCGCGCATTTTGTAAATTTTCATTTTTTGTCTGTTATATTTATACATCTCTCGAGTGGAAGGTCAGGCTTCTTATTATTCAAGTATAATGGCTTACGGCTAGGTGTAGATACTTTTACGCTCGATCGAACATAAATTTCGGTGCTTGTTTTTTGCGCGCGGCTGTCGGACCAACAATGGCAGCCATTTATAAATTTGAACTTCGTTCTTCCTTCTTTCTCTCTTTTATTTTAATCTTTAATTATATAATGTGTACGGTGGTTCCATTGGTTTCCTTGGATTTTTCTGTTCTCGCTGTACAATTAACAATTTCTTTTTTTCGGTGGTAGTTCAGCTATCATTGTTCTGCCTAACAGCCATAGATGGTAGAGTTGCCATTATGCTATATTCGATTTTTCTATTCTATCAAAGTAAATTTCGTATCGTAGTAAATTAAATTAAATTATGTTATGTTAGTTTATTTAGTTGTATCGTAATATTTTATGTTATTATTATTATTACTATTATTATTAGTATTATTAGTATCATTATTAGTATCATTATTATTATTATTATTATTATTATTATTATTATTATTATTATTATTATTATTATTATGTTACGTTATGTTGTGTTTTATACCATGTTACACTGCATCGAATATTTCTGCGCTTGGCGAGCGAGGACAAACTGTTTATTTTATTGTTAGTAAAATACCTTATAACTTTTCATATACATGTAGGTGTAACAGTTTGTAATAATTTTAAGTGGACCCCAACGGTAGTCGAACATACGTGCCTGTGCCCCGAGATCGCTATACTTTGATTACTATGCCGGTACAAGGAAAAGATTAAATCATCGAAATCAGCTGTTCGCGTCCGAACGCAAATGCCGCTTTGGGAATTTTTGTCTAACGGAACGCTTTGGACAGAAAGTTTTGCAATTGTTACCATAGATGGACAGACCTTCGAAGAACGTGCACGAAAATTTTTTTCGGCTTTCAAACATCGTTTCCCTTTCCGTCTCGCTGGCAAAATCGCTTCTCTAGTTTCCTCGAGGCGCAGGCATAGAAGAATTTGTTTAACCGTTTAAGTATAAATATTACGTAATTATAAATAGATAATTTAAATATTTGTTACCCGAAAGACACATCTAGATCGCGTTTTACATCGCTCCGTAAAATCGTACCTCCGGAAACGCCTAGCTACGATCTCTCGTTTCGAAAATTCCTCTCAAAAAAATAACATCGAAATTGGGTGCTCGTGCTGTGTGACACTTATCGTTACAAGGAGTGATTATTTTTCATCGAGTGACGTTTCTCAATTCTCTCGCGACTTCCCTTTCGTCCCTTTTTTATGTTTTAGTCCTTTTTCTCTCAAGAAGAACGCCATTTGCTTATTTAGAGAGTGTTGAAAACAAAGGGATCGGAGATTCTGTTTACTTGTACAGTTTTGCAAAAGATGCTGCGCGGACGTGACAATTTATACGGGCCACAGTAACGAAGAACGTTTAAATACGAATGCAGCATTTTTAATACTGTCATTGATTCGACTCGATTTTATTATAATCTGTATAGTTCAAACAAACACGAGAGATCGAGCCTGATTTGTTAAACATTTATCAACAGCCTCTCATTGAACATAATCACGAAAAATCCGAAAACAAGTAGTACGAGTCGATACTTGATCATACTAACTGCCTGATAAAGTAGTATAAGCCTAATATTTGGTCAAAATTCGAGAGTCTATAAAATCTCGAAATATTTAAAAAAAACAATAAACGAACAAATATCATTTCTCCCCGTTCGAGTAACGTAAACGGCGAGCTAAAATGAAATGAAACAATTAATACCATTAATTCGATGTTCGCGTAGCATCTTTTGCCTAATTAGGGCTATTAATGAATAATCGAAGAGACTACAAGGATTTTCCTTTTAGGGCTCTCTACGCACAGAGGTATCACTTCTCGATAAACACAGTGTATCTTCGCCGTGTGAAACCTCAAAGAAACGTTAGTTAACGGTTAGAATGATTAAATCACATAAGGCTCTGGAGGATCGAGTATCAGGGAAACGAACGAAATTTCCTTATTATATCACATATCTACATTTGTATAGTAAAAGACTTTAAATCATGATCGAACAGTTTCTGTATGCGTCTAATTGGTCGAGACAGAAATTCAACAACGTTTTC